CAGTTATGTCAAAGTTCATGTCAGCCAGTTATGCCAAAGTTCGTGTCAGCCAGTTATGCCAAAGTTCATGTCAGCCAGTTATGTCAAAGCTCGTGTCCGCCAGTTATGCCAAAGTTCATGTCAGCCAGTTATGTCAAAGTTCATGTCACCCAGTTAATGTCAAAGTTCATGTCGGCCAGTTATGCCAAAGCTCGTGTCCGCCAGTTATGCCAAAGTTCATGTCAGCCAGTTATGCCAAAGTTCATGTCAGCCAGTTATGTCAAAGTTCATGTCAGCCAGTTATGTCAAAGTTCATGTCGGCCAGTTATGCCAAAGTTCATGTCAGCCAGTTATGTCAAAGTTCATGTCACCCAGTTAATGTCAAAGTTCATGTCACCCAGTTAATGTCAAAGTTCACCACACTTGTTTACATTTATATATCCATCTTTCAGAGAATACAAACCAGAATTTGAAAGGCTGAAACGTGAAAAGGTAATACTTTTAAAATTGACAGTTGTTATTCCCTATTTTACTTATTATCACAACACTTAAAGTAGGTCAAGTTAAAATCCAGAATTATTCTGATTGAAACTTCACTTATGCCATGGGTTTGTTATGCTATGCAGATCACTAATTTTGAAATTATTCTATGCATAATGTGATTGTACATAATAAACCAATAAATGTGCAATTTATTATCAACCTTCACAGAAATTATGGATAGATTTTGACTTAAAAAGACACACTTTTATATCAATACTGAGTACAAAGCAAGATATATACACACTTAATTTTTTTTAAATAGACAATTATTATATAAAAACTTCCAGCATCTTCTCAGATATAAATCATTATTTTTTTTAAATATATATGATAATAGCTGCTACCTCTTTCAATAATGATTATGCAGATAAACTTAAGTATTATTTTACCACTACAGATAAAAGCTGAAGAACAGAAACAAAAAGAACAACTAACAAAATTGAGGAAAGATATTGGAAAGGGAATGGATGTTAAAATCCAACAAACTCATTCACAAGGTAATCTAACCACTTGCCTGGTAATTACGGTAGTCACTGCCAATATTCCCTGGTAATAATATTCTCAGATTCCTAAATAAGGAATGTTTTTTTTGGCATCAAAAGTAAATTATTAGTACTGGGTATATTCCATCACAAACTGTTGTCTGATGTAATGGTATGTTTCACAGATCAATCTTCATACCTTTGCCAAAACAAGCACTCAAACAGAATGAATCATGTTATTGTATCTACAGAGCTATTGACTAAAATGGCACCGGTGATAGGTCCTCGGGCAGATGATGATGATTCTGATGAAGAGGAGACAGTTACCATGGATTCAGAAGGTACAGTTTTCATTGCAGGAAACAGATTCTCCTGCCTACTACTAGTGTGATATATTGGTCACATGTTTAGTAGCCCTCTTTTCACTCAGCCTACCAACTAAGTGGCATGGGATTTAAAAGACATTGAATTAGAATGATAAAATCTTTATCTTCTTGTGTTGTTAAAGTTGATTGTGTTATTTCAACTAAAAGATCTCTAAGTGGCTATGACTAAATAAAGTGTGCCATTAGCTCATGTGTTTTCTATGACTTTATGTGGAGTTTATTGAAAGGATAAAAGGAACGTTAAATGATTTACTGTGGAATACTTAATTTTCACTGAAAAGGCTTTTTGGGCATTTTGTATGGAATTTATTTTCACTGATTTTTGATGAGTTTAATGTGAAATATTTATTTTCACGAAATGATCCCTTCAGCGAAAATGGTGAAAATAAATTCCAAGCGAAAATAAAGTATTCTACAGTACTTGTATTAGAAACTGACAACACTGATTTTTGTTGAGATGAGCTATGTTTATCTAACATGCTAGGGAATGGCTGTAATTCTATTATTGTTTGATAAACAGTGCAAGGTATATCACACATTAAAACTGATGTAAGTGTCATGTAAACTGTATATATTACAGATTAATAATTTACAATAGTGTACAATGCTGCCTTGAAATTGACTCTAATGGGGCTGTTTTTATGTGGATTGCAAGTACATTCCACAAATGTGGTGGACAAATGACAACACAATCACCACATGTTATTACCGGTCATCTGGACCTAGCAATATAAAAAGGAGGAATATTCCTGCACTGGGCTCTTCTCAAATATCTCTAATCACTCTAATCTCATTTAATTTCTAATAAATATAAAAGCCAATATGATTTAAATCTTTTATTTATTTTTTCTTAGATGAGGAAGAAAGAAAAGAATATGAATCTTTTAAAAGATTTCTTGCCAAACAAAAAGATCAGAAACAGACATCGGAACCAGCCTCATAGCACTAGAATGTCATTGGATTCACCATGGTATCTTTCAGTATCATATGAACCACCCTTGATCTTTAAATATCATTGGAATCACCATAGGGTCTCTGAGTATCATTGGAAGGAATCACCATGATGGTATGTTTCAGTATTGTCTGGAAACACCATTGTGTACAACCCAGTATTTTAACAGAAGTGTACATAGTGAATCTTATATCAATATTATTATGTTCTATAATGAAAATGCAGAGTGTTTGGTAATGTTGGTATGTTCTTTTGTAATGGTACAGGAACAATATGTACTTTTATGTGCAGTCTTCAGTAGGAATCCATGTGTAACATAACAGCTATTACATGGATGCCATACACCCCAAAATACATGTTTTCAAATCATCTGATAATTTGGATGGTGTTCAGTGATAAAAATATGCAGCAGTAAATCAAAAAAGGAGTCCTATTTTGAACACATAATGATGAATGTGTCCCATTTTTTTTTTATTTCATACTTTATTGCTCATTTACCAATAATTTTAGAAGACCATTGAATAAATGCCCACTATTATTTTTTGTACACCTGTAAATAAAATCTTATACTTAATAGATGTACTACTTATATTGTGTTGCATCAGTCATTGATTTAATTTGAAATGTTTTGGTTCACTCTAACATAAAATGATGTTAAAGCGGGGGAGTCGTCACCTGCGCATGCGTCAGCTGGCCATAGCATGTCATTGTTTATAAACAAGCATCTACCCATGAGCCTTTGCGATTTTAGCATGTGTTGTTATCGTCACTTGGGACTCAATACCCGTGCGTGTGCAGGGGACGACCCTCCCGCTTTTAATGAAATAACAGTCAAAGTAAAAGATATGTATATCAATAATAACATTTCATACATCAGTTTGTAAAATCGTATATAGAACCTTGTACAGCAAGTTATATGACTCTTACGAAAATGTTATAATGTATAGTTTTTAGTCAAGAAGTTGCATAAAATTATTTTGTATGTAATCATTTATGTGTGCAAGTCTAAAAGAATTACCGGTAATATTTAAAAAAAAAATCTATTCCCATTTGCAAAGCGACTATAGTTTAAGCTCATTCTGCATGTCAATTTGTTTACTTCAGTGTTGTTGTATGTGAAATATATTCACACTGGTCGTTTGACAGTTCAGTCAATAACACTCTAATTATGGTATGTGTACAGTATGCTTACAGACTACCATTCGTATTGGTACTGACTCAAATCATAACTGAAGTTCATTGCATGTATTATTTTCTTCACTGTACTTTGATATATATTTTAAATATAATTTTATCACCATCACCGAGACACCAAATTTCCATGATGAATGTAACATGAGTGATAGAGGAATGTTTCATAATAGCGCTTGACAAGTGTTCTTTCACTCCAAGGCCATGAAATCCAGTCCCCGCAACAAAAAGTGTTAATGTGAGTGTGCAAGTCTAATGAGATTAGCTTGTGTGTCTTTGTTTTGTGCATATCTTAAGACTACTTGTAGGACTTGATTTGTAATTATTCTGAAATCTACCCAGTATATTATATGTAACCTTCCCATGATACATCAGATCAAATTGTATTTGTAATAGATCAATAAAAGGCACACCATAGCTAAGAACAACTGTTTTCCCCCGGAGGGTTCCTTTTGAACTTTCCGTAAACTTTTCAATACTATACTTCAGAATCATTCAGGGTGATAATTCTCTACATTCGGGCTTCCAACATATCTTGTGGAAACATACACCTCTATAACACATTTCTGCGATAGTCGTACTGAATCAAAGCTAGCCATGTTTGGTTTTTGATTGGTGACTTATTTGTAGATTCATAGAATTTTGAGTGGCATATTAAAAATACTGATAATTGCTCAGACCTTGTTCAGTTTGTAAGCCTCTTCAAACATCGATAGAGCTTGGTTACTGTAGAATACTTTATTTTCGCTGAAGGGATGATTCCTTGAAAATAAAATCCAGAGAATATACTTTTTTTTCTTATATTTCACATTAAACTCATCAAAAATCAGTGAAAATAAATTTTATACAAAACGCCCAAAAATCATTTTCAGCGAAAATTAATTCCAGCGAAAATAAAGTATTCCACAGTATATTACAATACATATGATTTTATCAACATTTATCTAAAATTTTACTTCGTATGTTTGGAAATAGGTAATTAATTTTTCAGACATCAATTTGGTAGTTATTCATTAACTTGTATTAGTAGTTTCATTTTAATGGAACATGTCATTTCTAATGAAGCATTCTGAAAGTCAATAATGTGGGATACACACGATTTAAAGGAATACAAAATATCTTTCGTATCATTTGCAATTATCCCAATATAATCTGAATATAGATGGTAAATCATAATTACCAATACAGACATACGAGTCTGGTTTTATAGTTACCGGTATATACGGTATATATATATATATATATACACTAAACAGAATCAAGAAGAAGCCCCATCCCCGACTGTATAACTCTGGGAAGACTGACAGTTGTCGAAGTAAAAAAACATAAAATGTATCATTCGAAAAAAAAACCTTATTGTAAGAAAGCTACTTTTTGAACATTTGAAAATATTGCTGTCATTCAGAGACTTACTCGAATAATTATATTTTTTATATTTTCTAGTTAAATGATTTCATATATAGTTTATGTTGCGATCAACGAGACGATGAATAGTAAAACTAATGAACAAAAAGTATGGTATGAGATGTAAGTGTTGTTGCAAATAAAGTGCAACTGTCGTGAAATAGTAGACATTCGTTACAAGTGATGTATTGTGTGGTACGACCGTACGACACCATTAAATTAGTCCCAGTGCATCCTCAAAGGATTAAAGATATAAAATTCAGATAATTCATTTTACCACGATGCTGACACTGGGGAGTTTTAAACCATAGCAAAACATACACTGAAAATTTCCTGCACAGATAAACCGTTTTTATCCAGTCGTGACAATGGGTAATTTATTTCCCAGAGGTATTCGGATAACACTAGGTATATAACTTTGAAAGAAACAAGGCGAATTTGAAAAAGTACACGAGGACTGGAAACCCTCTACTTTTTAGGCTTCCCTCCCTGGGATTCATTGTTAACGTACACATTCACAAGTACTCTTTTTCATTGTGCTAAGTGGCC